CTCGAAGGTGCAGGCAGCAAATTCAAATGGGAAGAAGGGATGTGCCACTAACCATGGGGTTCATTGGCCACCGAAGCTGTGTGAAAAGACTTAATGCTCTGGAAGTGCTCTAATACAGATTCCCTATCGTGAGGGAAGAGCTTTAGGTGAACAGAAGGCAACCTCAAGCCAAGAAGTTGTTACTGGGCTCTATGTGTAGGAATGCATCAAACTGCCCTGTTATGCTCTGGGGGTCAGAGGCACCAGCCTGATCCAGGACCTATGGTGCTATGGCCCAAGTTCACCCTTCTTGGACTAAACACATGGCAGAGGTGGAGGGAAGAGGCAGCAGTGCCCACCCTGCAGCTCCTCCTGCAGACTGTGTCCATTTGCCTGTGGCATCACCCCACCTCTTCTGGCACAAGCAGAGGCTTTGGGAATGTGTTGGAATCTCTGGAGTGACTGAAATCCCCCAAATCTCTGGGATTTCTTACGTCAGCCCCTTCCTGTTTGCTCCTGCCCTTCTTTCCAGGAGCCTGCCCTTCCTTCGGGATCTGGGGCCGCTGTAGCAGGGAAGCACACACTGAGATGTTTGAGGCTTTCTGGAAGCATCAGGAGAGGGCTAGGAGTTCACACTGATCCTTCCACACCCCATCCCTGCCAGCAGCATCCTGCAGCCAGGAAGAGCCCGGCCAAAGCAGGAGCCTGGGTCCTGCCCCTTGCCATCGCAGACACAAGAAGGAGGCCACGTTCAAAATTAATATGTATTTTTATTGAATAGTTGCTCTAAGTGGGCTTCTGAAGCCACCATAGAATTAATTCTGTCATCTCAGCAGTGGTTCAGTAACATCAGCTTTGCGAGAGAAGAAAACCAAACAGAAGAGGGTGCATTAAAATAAATAGGTTATTTTTCTTATCTTTAAAATAAACTTTTCAAATAAATACTTTGGGTTGTTTGGGGTTTGGTTTTTTTTTTGTTTTTTTTTTTCTTTTTTCCCTTAGAAGGTACAAGAGTATTGTCAAAAAACAGCCATCAGGTTATAAACATATACCTTATAGAAAGGAACCCAAGTGAAGACAGCAGGGAGGGTCTCTTTATACACTGTACAGAATGCCTTTGTACCAGTTCAGTGGAGGATTAGATGCTTCGGATCTTGGTATGAGACTCTTCCTTGAAGCCAACAGTGATCCATCTTCTAAGGAGAGCTTTGTGCTGAGGACACCTGGGGGGGCAGGAGGCAGCTTGGCCGCTGCTGGTCCACAGAGTATCAGAAAGGGCTGAGGGAGCTGCTGGGAGATGATGGGCAGAGGGGAATGGGATGGGAAGGGGAAAGGGCTCTGCTGGTCCAGCTCTGGGATGACCACACACCTCCCAGCTGGAACAAAGGGTATAAGAAACCTCTTCTCCCCATGCCCAGGCCAGCTCAACATGGGCAGTTTGGTCCTGCTTGTGCTGGAGCCCTTTGGGGTGCTGCAGGAAGGTGCAGTAGGACAGAGGCTTAGCGAAAGGCTTGGCACTGCTCCCCCTTACCTGGTGCTCGCACATTCACCCTGCCCCACGAGGTGTGTGGTCTCTTCCCATCCAACCATCCATCCATCCATCCATCCATCCATCCAACCATCCATCCATCCATCCATCCATCCATCCATGTATGTCCCTCCTACCACGAACAGGTGTTGGGGTGGGGTTCATCTCCCATCTACTTTCCTCACGTGCTGATTACAAGAAATTAAACCTTCCAATATCTGAAGAGCTCCCAGTTCCTCCACCCAAGGGCCAGAGATGGAGCAAATTAGTGAAGTGTGTGCTGCAGACAGCAAGTTGAGGGCACAGTGTGATGCTCCCCTGTGCAAACTCCTCACCTCTCTACTCATCCCTCTATTGCACTCAAGCAGTCACTCCTAAACGGCTATCCTGTGCTTTGGCATCTTTTGGTCAATGACACTTGCCCACAGTTTGGGCTTCACACATGGGGATGTGGAAGAGCGATCTCAACGGGATTTTATGGGAATCTGAGTAGAGTCCCAAAGAACTTCCCCCCCTGTTCTTTGAGGTACTTGGCTGGCACCAATGTTTCTCAGGGATGGGTGGACAGGAGCCCAAGGACCATTTCAGCCCTTCGACTAGGAGGGCTGAGGAGCTCGAAAGGGAGGGAGACTCCACCCTGGTCCCCAGTGACCCCTCATCACCAGTGCAAGGGCCAGCAGGGAAGGAGGGGAGAGAGACCAAGGGAAGTCTCAGAGAAAGCAAGCACCAGCAGGACTTCTTGTGTGGATGGAGCTTTGGAGGTCTGGGCAGGAAAAGGAAGCTCCTGTATGGGGAGCAGAGCAGGGGAAGCGCAGGTCCTGCTCAGCACCTCCTGCCTCGTGCTCCTTTGGCACCTGAGAGTCCCTTTCCCCATCTAAATCCTCCCTACACCCCTGCATGTTTCCCAGCAGAAGAGCCCCCATCCATTAGAGACACACAACACGAGAGCCATTCCCTGGCAGAGCGGATCCATCCCTGTCAGCTCCCAGGGAAAAGGGAGAACTCGGCACACGACTCTCCCAGAAGAAAACCAAGAAAGACACGTCAGGACAGAGACAGACCCAAACTGCCGGGACAGGCAGCTGCAAACAAACAGCCAGAGCAGATGTGATGTGACTCACTGCAGGGTGGGGCAGGAAAGGGGCTCACAACCCCAACCAGAGCTGGAGTCCTCTCTGATGGGAAACCAGACTCTGGCAGCTGGAGATGGGGAGAGAGTGGGGTGGATCTCTTCTGGAGATGATAGGAAAAGTTCAGGAAAAAAAGCATGATGAGAAGCTACCCACAGTGCTCCTGACACCAGATGAGCTCCGTGAACCAGAGCTGGCCTCTGTGAACAGCTTCTGGCAAATCCTGACTTGCCCTTTCTGCCAAGAGCAAGGAGTGGGAGCTGGATGAGACCCCTCCAGATGGAGTGGGAAGCAGTAACCCCCCGTGAAGCCACCTGCCCTTGTGAGCAGGGTTGAGGCCAACAGCCTTAAACCTCTCTAGCCCATGCAACCACAAGTCCTGGATGTGGCTTTGCATTTTGAGCTCAACACAGCTAAACCAAAGCCCTGCACTGGTCTGACAGCCCTCAGTGCCCATCGGGCTGTCCTCTCCAATTCCCCTCCTACATGTCCCCTATTTCATAATACATCTCACAGGTTTTTCATTTCTTGGAGAGGAGACTCGGGAGATGTGGTTGGACTGCTCAGGTCTGCATCCCGCTATGGCACCATCCCCTAGGAGAACTGGGGCTCCTGCACTGGCCCAGGAAAGGCCCATTAGGTAGAAGGGCACTGCAGGAGTCCTGGCCTGAAGGCGAATATGCTGCAGGAGCAGCACAGGGCTTGGCTGAGCAAAGCTCTGGGGAGCAGGTGTGTGGACACCCATCTCCTCATCCAACAGCTCCAGCACCTGGGGGAGGTCAGCCCGTGCCTGCATGACTTGGGAGGCCATGAAAATGATGCAGCTTCACATGTTGAGTCATTGCACCATCAGGAGAGGAAGCAATGAATTGCAGAGATACAGAGGTGGTAACTAAATTTACAAGTAAGATCCATTTAAAAAGGAGGAAAAAAAACCCCAACCATATATCAAAGTAGAGCAAGTTGGAAAATTCTGTTCATTAGTTTTCTTCAGAAAGTTTCAATGAACCATTTCACATTCTCATTGGAGTGAGAATTCCTCAAACCCTCAGTGAAAACGGGACCTTTTATTTCCCTAAAAACAAGGTTTAATTCTTCTAGGAAGGACTTGTATTGGCACAAGCAGAGAAGGGAACTGAGTGCTCAGGAGGAAGGGTGCCTCTTGGTGGAAGTCTCTCCCCCAGGCATCACTTGGAAGTGAAGAGCCAAGCAATTATTGGCATATGGATAAATATGACCGCAATATATAAGTGCTGCCACAAGGACATGGACTGAGCTTATGGGGGTCACACATCTACAGGGCATCCTCTGAGAAGGTCATTGCCCTAAAACCCAACCCATTGCAGAGTTCAGGGCTGGCCACAGAGGGCATACAAACCACACAGATGTGGCCCTCTCTGTTCTTCATGCCAGGAGATCCTCACTACAACCTAGAGCATCATCCTGAATTTCCCACAGCTTATGGAAGTGGTCTCTCTCCATCTCTGGCCAAAGGAAGCATCTTTCAAAGTCCCCCCTTGGGCTCCAATTGAAAGCAGGGTGAGGATTTCAGCCATGTCCCCAACATGCCCCAGACACAACCTCACACCAGGGCTGGGATTCATCTCTCCTTCCACAGGGAACCTTGACTTCCAGTATTTGGGTCCTGTTTGAGTTGAGGGAGACAAGCAGGATCAGATCATTTAATGAATAGTGTTTTCAAGGGGGATGAATCACTCTGAATCTGCTTTTCTCTGCAATGGAAGGAGCTTGGATTAGCCACAATTTTTAGACAGCAAATATATGGGAAGAGGAATCCCATGATGAGAGCCTACCTCATCGCCTCACCCCAGAGCCAGCACTAAATCCTACCCTCTCCCTGCAAAGCAACCTCCCCTAGGACAAGCTGTAAACCTCCTTTTCCCCCTGTCCCAACTACCTGGGAACTAGAGGTCTAGAATTAGCAAGAACCATACTGGGAAATCATCTTTCAGCATGCACAAGTGTACCAGGAAGCCAACCCTTGCATCTGTCACTGTTCACAGCAGTATCATTATTAGTAATAGACCTAGCCATCCTAACGTTATATTTCTATATACAAAAATAGATCCACAGAACTCTACGTGAAGAGGTGGCTGAGGGAAGGCAACGGATGAGCCCTGGGTGGCAAGACTTGGAGGAAGCCAAGGGACATGTTGCATATATTTCTCCAGGGGATCCGTTTGCTTCCCCTCTGCTCTCACACCCTTTGGAGGAGGGACCAGCAGTTAGAGCTGATCACTGGGACATCCTCCCAGCTCCAGCTCCCCTGGCCAATGGGCTGGTGACAGCAGGGTCACTCCCGGCAGCTGGCAAGCAGAGATGGGGCTTGGATCAGCCTTGGAGTCCAGGACCAGGAGGAGCTCCCTGTAACTGCAGCAACGGGTTGGGCTTCTTATCCTCACAGCAAGCAAAGCACGAAGCACTGACCCTGAGTCAGGTTTCCTCCTGGTCTGCAGATGGCCCAGTCCCAGGACTTGGTTCAGACCCATCTCCGGTTTGCCACAGGAACACCCTCAGCAATGCCTCCAGGGTTTGCCCACCAGCATCACACTGGTGTTGGTTTTGGTGTGACACTGTGCAGCAAGGAAAGCGAGGGGAGGACTAAAAGGCAACTTCAGGGAGGGAAAGTCAGGCTCCCATCTTCCAGGCCTCCTTTTTGCCCTCTGCTTCCCTCCAGCCCAAAGCAGGAGGTGCAGGAGTCCCCCCCCAGGGTGGGTGCTCTCCAATGGGGCTGGCAGCGCAAGCACAGGGTGCATATTTGTGTCTGTGATCTTCATTTAAAGTGAATTCAGTGCTGGTGGAAGGTACCAGATGGGGGCTCTTGGTGTCTGTGGCATTGATGGAGCCGGGCAGCAGCTCCCATCCCCCCGGGGTTTGCACCGTGGAGGCAGCCCTTCAAGGCATTGAGAAATGAATTTCAGTTTCAACCCAGCTGCTTGTTCTCCACCAAATCCCAGAGGGGACCTTTCCCTTGCTGCAGTCGGGCAGAAGCGAGTGGGCTGGCCTGCCTCCTATAGCTCCTTCCCCTGCCAGAAGGTTTCTAAAGCTTCCCACACCTTCCCTTCCTCTTTGAGACAGAAAAATACGATGCCACCTCATTTTGAAGCTAGCTTCCTTCTCCCAGAGGCTTCCAAGCCCAGATGGAAGTTGCTGCCATTGACGGAACCCTGCCTCACCCCAGCCCTTGGGGAAAGCAGATCTATAGCCACGTGAGAGCAAAGAGGCCACCCAAAGAAAGTGCTGGAGAAGGAGAAAGACAGAGAAGGGGAGGTCTGGCTCCTGGAGGGCTCTTGCACAGGTGATGCATTGACCTGACTTGTCCCCCCATCAGGAAGGACCTCACCATGGGGCAGTGGCAGCTCTGAAAACCCTCCCAGAGCAGAGTCCTGAGGACACACTCCCAAACACCCTTGGTCTTCCTCCTCTTTTCCTTTCCTGGTCCCTCACCTGCATGTGCAAAACCGCCACTGCTCCCCAGCGGGTGCCAGCTCCCCCAGGCACTCCTCTGTGGGACCCCCAGCTCACCAGTCTTATTCCCAAGGGGTTATGGTGGTAGGGGAGAAGCGCTGCAGAACGGACGGGTGCTGGAAGAGGAGGGGGATGGCAAGGAGAGGAGGAGGATGAGGAGGAAGAGGAATAAAGCCTGCTTCTCCTCCCCGGGAGGGTCATACCAGCTTATCCAGCGTCTTGGGGAAAGGTGTGCTGCTGGAGGAAGAGATCTTCCTGCAGACTGTGTTAGTGTGGCTCTGGCAGCGGCAGCCGGGGCGTTTCAGGCCATCATAACCCCGCTGGCAAAGTTTGAGGCACCCCAGGGTAGGAAAGTAGCAGCAGAGGCAGGGCATGAGGATGGAGAGGAAGCTCATGGCAGCCCAGCGGGCGCAGCAGGACCCCGGCCCGCAGGAGCAGGGGTCATCAGCGCAGGTGTCCTCGTCGTCAGTGGAGCAGTGGTAGAAGAGACCCTTGACGCAGCAGAGGCAAGTCCCGTAGTCGAGGAGGCTCTCCGGGGAGCAGAGGCAGCGCTGGTTGCAGAGCCAGCAGGAGGGCAGGCTGCGAGCGGCTGTGCAGCGCCCGCACTTGCAGCGCCCGCACTCCTCGCAGAGGAAGAGGTGCCCAGGATGCAGGGGCGGCTTCTCCACCACCCCCTTCAGCGGAGACTCCTCCGCTTTCAGCTCGCCGGCCCGCGGCTGCGTCCGGATCAGGGAGTGCCCGGAGTGGGAAGGGGTGAGGCTGCTCAGGAGACGCTGGTCGGAGGCCGTGGTGCTTTGGGAGACAGAGCTGGCTGTGCTGGAGTGGCTCATGTGCTGTTGCAAGGGTGGTATCTGGTGCTGTTGGCTGTGGCTGCGGTGCAGGTCCTGGAAGGTGGAAGACACCAGGCGGTCCTGGGACCACTCTTGCTTGTGCGGAAGCTGGGACAGGGATGGGTTGGAGCGGGCTTGCTGGAAGCACACAGCCGGTCTCTCCACGTAGTTGTTGCTGGCACGGATGGAGCGGATTTGGTCGATGGACAGGACCTGCTGGAAGTCCTCCACGGGTGGGTCCATTGTCTCGTCACAGCTGAGCTCAGCCACACTGGAAGAGAGCTGCATTTCCAGGAGTGAGGAGACCCTGTGGCATCAGGGCACATCTACAGATCCTAAAGGATGGGGCAGGAAGACAGAAAACATTTGTGTTATATTCTATAACATCCATCCGCGTAAAGCAGGAAGCAAAGGACGGCTGGAGAACTCCTAATGAAGTTATTTCCAACAGTCAGACTACAAGTACTTCTGTGCCTGGGGACACAGGCTGGACACAGCCAAAATCTGTCCCTTGACCCAGGCGGTCGCAGCATCTCCTCAGGCTCCTCATGTCCTTCCAGAGGATTTCCCACCCCTTGCCAGCACTGATGGACCACATCCATCCTTCCTCTCCTTCCCAGGGGAAATGCCAGCCCTCTCTGGAGGAGGAAAACTTGAAGCTGTGACTTATCCAGAGCCAGTGACAGAATTGGGAACAGCATCTCCTCCCGAGCAGGAGATTCTTTTGGGGTTTCCCAGTGCACCCAGAGCAGCCTCCCAGTGCTGTAACATGGACATAGGGTTGGAGGGGTGCTGGACACTAATTTCAGGCAGTATCGGCAACAAATTGCAACTGACACATGTTGGGAAAGAGACAAGCCAACCCCACAGCTCCCACTGCAGCATCCTGCTTTCCCATGCATGCCCAGGAGCTGTCACCCCCTCAGGAACCCCGGAGAGGGCAGGGTTTGGTTTCTCCTTCACCCCAGCACAAGCAGAGGGGAAGCAGGGAAAGCAGCGCTGTCAGCAGGCAAGCCCCAGCCTGCTCCCTGCCCCGAGGCTGCCGTGTGTCTGCTGCTGTGCTCAGGAAACGGTACTTCCTGAGTCTGCAGCACCGGCAGGCGCCTGCTTTATTCCAGAGGGAAGGTCCGGACTCCCGGAGGGCAGTGGGGCTGGGGCAGAGAGTACCCCCGTGTCCTACAACTCCCCCCACAGCAGGTTTGACCTGATGGCATCGGGCCCATCACCAAAGCTGGGCTGCCACCATACCTCTCCGCTGGCGTCTGGTGAAGCCTCAGTGGGGCTGAGTGAGGAGAGGGGCGGAAGGGCTCTCAGTGGAGCCACCTCTCTCCCCTTAGGATGGATGGAGGGAGAAGCTTGTGCTGCCCACAAAACAAGGCAAGCAGAGCACACGGAGGATGGAGCCATTCTGCATTCCAGACCAACCCCCCAGCACTTCCAGCCCAGATCTCAGGGTCGGATCCCTGCTCTCCGGGCACAGTTTCCCCAGGACAAAGCCATTCTCCTCTGGCAGATCAGACAAGTGATCCCTCAGTAACAGACACCTTTTGGTGCCAGGGCCTGCAGGAAGACGGTTTCCCTGAGGAAGCTCCCCACGGTCAGGCAGTGCTGGAGCCTTTCAAGTAGGTGAGGGGCCACAGGTAGAATCTGCTCATGCAGCAGAGAAAGGCAGAGGGAAGATTGATTTTCATTAGCCAGGCTGACCTTGAGAAGCAGGCAAAAGCAAAGGCAACTTACTTTGACTGTTCAAGCAAGATCTCATCTCTCCCATTTCCCTCCCAGGAAAGAAAAAGCGATGGATCTGCTGAGATTTGGGGTTTTCCTGTGCCTGAAGCCCACCTGTGCCCCTCCCTTTGTGATTCAAGTGAGATGTTCACGCCATCCAAGGAGAGGCAGGCAGGCAGGGAATTAGTAGGTCTCCTGGGACACCCACAATAGGTTTGGATGCTGATTTCTTTACCACTAATACCAAGGTGAATTGGGAGGGCAGAGCTGACCCAGGTTGTGAGCACACTGACAGGATGGGAATGGGCCATGAAGGAAAAACACCCTCCTGTGAGTTGCTGCCTGCTGCCACTGAGCTCCTCACCTGGTCGTACTAAAGCACAGGCTGGTGACCTGAAGTCCCCTGGATCCCTGAAGGGATATGACCCATCTTCATCTGTAGCTAGGACTACACAGGGGAGAGCGGAGAACAGCCTCCAAGGGTTCCCAGGTCCCTCATGACCCAGATCCCACCTCAGGGTGGGATCGTGTGGAGGAAGATGCTGATTCCACCCACAGAGGAGCTGCTCACAGCTGGGTGTCCGTCCCCTCTAACTTGTGCAATGAGATTTGGCAGCACTTGGGTATTAGGGCTCGGGCAGCAAGGCCCCATGAGGCTTCCACGTTAGGTTTGAACCAAAGTGTGACCCAAGGGACAAGACTGAGGGTCCTGAGATAAAGAGCAGCTCAAGGGCAGACCCACCACAGCCACCCCCAGCCCTCTATGCAAGACCTGGAGCTCAGGAGACATGAGGACACCCATGAGATGGGCTTAGGCAGAAGGAAGTGCACAGGGGACACTGTGGGGAGAAACAGAGCCTGGGAACAGCAGGCAGACAGAGCTGGCAGTTGGGCCACGCGGTGTCTGCCAACCCTGACACTTAGGATCTGGGCTTGGACGGGTCCTGGGCAAGACAGGTCCTGGTAGGACCCCCAGCACAGAACCAGGGCTCAAATGCTCCTAGACCTCCAATTTCCAGGTGCAAGGTTTGGACATGGACCCAGATTTGCTGGCGCAGGGAGGCAAAAGCCCCCCTGGGACCCAAGGGGACATGAACCAGAGGATCTGTGGGTCCTCCAGTCCAGTGGAATGGAGGGAAGACAGACTGAACACCAGAGCTGGGACCCCACTGCTGCCCTCAACCCCGGGGAGCCCAGTGGCCCCCACTCGCTCCTTGCTCCAACCAGTCCATACCCCAGTTCCCAGTGGGAAGACCACCCCCGGGACACTGATGCACGTCCCGCTGCCTCTTTGCCATCTGAGGGGGCTGGGGCAGCGTAGGGGGGGGAACTCTGCCATGTGAGGGGGCTCCTCCTCCTCACACCCTGCCTGCCAGGGTCTTGCCAGCCCGGAAATCGGGTGAGCTTTATGGCCGCTGCAGCCAGCACAAGTTCGTGTGACAGTGGCCAGAGCAGAGATCGTAAAAGCAAATGATTTACAGGCTGGGGTGGCTGCGAGCCGGGGACGAGGGGCACAGGGCGCCCAGGTGGGAGGAAAGGAAAGGGATTTTTCCCTCCGGAGGGACTGCCAGGACCATCCCAGCGCTGCGGGAGCAGCGGGGTGGTGGCAGGAGGATGATGCCCCAGCCCCGGTTTGCAGCAGCCCACGCGTGGGTCGTATCCGGCGGCAACCCCCGCGCCCAGCCCCTCCGTATGCGGGCCCCACAGCCCCCTCGAGCAGCTCCGCACAGCACAGCCCCGCACAGCGCAGCCCACCTCTCCAAGGAGTCGGACCCGCAGCCCCCAGCAGCCCCTCCTTTCACGCAGCCCCCGCGGTCCCCGGACCCCCGTCTGCGCAGTGCCTGCACCCCACTCGCGCTCGGGACGCCCCAGCCCCGCTGCCCGCTCGACCCACGCGTGACTCCGACCCACGCTCGCTGCCAGCCCCAGCACGGACACCCCACTCGTGCCCCGTGCCCCCACCTGCACCTCACCCCCACAGCCCCACTCGTGTCCGCTCCAGCGCCCACCGCAGGCCGCCCGTGCCCAGCCCCACGCGTGTCCGCGCGGGTGAGCTCACCCCGCTGCCGCCGCCGGGGCCGCCGCCGGTCTGTGCGCCCGCGGAGCGCCGAGCGCTGCCGGGGCAGCCACGGGGCTGCTCAGGGCTGGGGGCTCGGGGCCCCTCCGCTGCGCCGAGCTCAGCTCCACGGGCACCGGGATCGGGGCCGGCAGAGCCCGGACGGGCGGCTCTGGCTCGTCCCCAGCGCCGGCTGCGAACGGGGGAGCGCGGAGGACGGGACGGAGGGAGGGATCCACATCTCTCCTCGCTCCGCCGCTGCCTTCCCGGAGCTGGAGCTCTTAGCGCTTACCTAAGTGGCGTCATCCCGCTGGAATGGCACCGGCCCATTAGCAGTCCCACAGAGCCCCGGCATCCGCTCCCCAGATAATGGCTGAGCGGAGCCGGGAACAGCGCGGAGCCTGCAGGCACTATTTAAACATTTCCGTCTGCCTCGGGCTCCGCTTCCCCCCACCCCGGACCCGCCGCCCCCTGGCCCCTGGGGACACCCGTGGGACCAGCGCTGGCTCAGGAGGCTTCGTGGGCATTGAAGCTTGGTCCAGCCCGATGGGGTGGACAGGGGTGTGGGGAGCAGGTTGGGTGCCCAGGGTCAGCATCTGCTGTTGGGCACTGTCACCTTGAGGGATCATTTGATCCGCACATGGGTGGGGAACGGGCGCAGCCACCATCACCCCTCACCCTTCCCGGGCATCTCAAGAGGCATCAAGTGGGAGCTCAGACGTTGCCCACCCCCCATGCGACCAGACAGCCTGACTTACACCAGAACCACCTCCTCTGATAGAAGCTGAGGTGGAAAAGGGGCTGTTCTGCACTGAGACCCACAGAACCATCCCACGCGCATCCCATTCTCCCAGAAACAAACTCCCTGGACTCAAGGTCCAAACTGGACCTGGATATTCTGTCCCAGACATCTCGCTGTGCTGCTGCGCACTCCCACCTTCCACTGCTTTCTCTCTTCTCTAAGGCAACAACTGCTGCTTGGGAGCACCAGGGATCCTTGTGACCTCCCTCAGCCCCATCCATAAATAAATGGGACCTGGTCTGACGATCCCAAAGACTCAAGGCCCCTCCTTGATGACAATGTACATTGGCATGGACTCCACTCGAGCTCCCACCCTCACTTCTGGCATCATTTCCAGGTTGGTCACCCATCCTTTCTGGCAGCATTCACTGGGTGAGCAAAGCAATGTTACCAGCTCAGGACAGGTTCAGAACCTGCCTTGAGAAGCAAAGCTGAAAGCATCCAAGCCCTCACCCACCCCAGCAAATCCCCCCAGCACAGGACCCGGCTCCTCAGGGCCCGGCCATCCCTTGTCAATGTTGGTTGCCGACGGGCAGCACAGGGGCTGGGTACATGAGGGCAGGGAAGGGATGAGGAGCCTGAACAAGGTTGACAAAACCAGTTCTGCCACTTTTTGCTTCACCGGATGGGTACAAACCAGGATGATCCCACTGGGCTCAGCAGCTCCCTCCCAGCCGGTGCCAGCAGAAGCACTGGAGTCATGTCCAGCAGGGGCCAGCGACTCGGCTCTCCTGCACGGTGCCCAGTGGAGCCCTTCCAGGCTCATCTTTTAGGCATTTCTGGGCTGGGCAGCTCTCCATCTCCCTTGGATCCCACCAGAGATGCTCCTCCAGGAGTTTCTCCAAGAGGAATGCATCCCTGACGGCATGCCTCAGCTACAGCCCAGAGCCTTCATGCCGCATCTCTGTGCTCCCACGAACCCCTCCTCTTCTCCCCATCACTTTCAGCTTCATCTTTAAAGATGCAGAAAGGAGCCGAGTTGCCCAATTCCCAGCGGCTGCCAGCTGGCTACGAGCACCTGACTCCCCAAACCATGTGTGACGTCCTCCCTTTATCCCAGCCCAATTCCCAGCCCAAATCCATCACTCCCACCTTGAGGTGCCGGTGATTCAGGCTTCCCTCGGCGGGCTCACAGCATCCCCAGCGCAGCCTGCGTCGTGCTCAGCCGGCGCTGCTTTATTCCTCACCCGCTGCCGAGGGAGGGCCAGAAAGGCATGAATGCAGAGATAGAGACAAGTGGGAGGGTGGGAAGCAGAGGGAGAATAGCAGCCTCCTGGTGAGTTATTGACCGCAGCATCCCTGAGGAGGAGGGCTGGAAACCTGAATGCATTTGCAAAGCAGAAAAGTTCAGAGACGCTCCCAAAGGAAGGGTCTGGGATGAAGCCTCCAGCCAGTGTTTGGAGGGTTTGGGGCTGTTGGAAGAGGGATGTGGTGTCCTGCACAGCTGTATATGTTGAAGGGAGGTGTGAGGCTACATGAGATTCCCAATAACCTCTCCCTGCAGGAGTGATCATCCAGCCCTAAGCAGGGATTTAATATCCTTCCGCAGCTCTAGGACACCTCCAGGCATCCATCCTGCCTCTGCCCCTTCCCAGCCACTTCCACCTGAGCCAGCTCCTCTGGACTGGCCTTCTGAACCTGTTCCACTCCTCTTCCCAGCGTGAATCCACTTCTTAACCCCTCAAGCACCCCTGGGGTCCTGTCCAGAGCAGCTCCCAGGAGTCCCACCCTGCCCTTACTTTAGGGGCTGTCAGCACATCTTCTGCCTGGGGCTGCTGATAGCACTGAGATAGAGGCACTGAGGGCAGAGCATCCTGGTGTTCCCAGCTCCTGTTGCAGGTCTCCCATCTGCCGGTTGCAGATCTCTGCCTTGGGGAACCCTCATCCCTGGCAATCCCCACCAGTTCCTCCCTGCCCTGCTCCTGCACATCCCCAACACTGCAGAAACCATCTGGGGTGTCACCACCTTCCTTCCCCTCCTCAGCACGTGTTTCTCGAGATACACACACACATTCACAAACGCAAAAGAGATCACTCTGGAGCCTGGAGAACTTGTTGCTTTTTTAAGCAACCAGGAGAGCTCAGCATTGTTTTCCAGCCCTCTCCAAGCCTGAGCACCCCTGATCCCCCAGTGAACCACTGCGGATGGGGAGGAGAATATCCCAGCGTGAGGCTGGAGATATCTGCTCCTTTCGATGCTATTTGACAACCTGGGGCACTGGGTAGAGGGAGCATTCACCTTCAGTTAAAGATGATGCAGGCAGGGGAGAGAGAAAAGGGGAGGATAAAGAGAACATTGTGATTCCCCTGGTTCAATCAGTGAGAAGCAATGAGGTGCTAGTGCTCTCTAATTTTGAGATTCACACATTTGAGGGCCAGAGGGGACCATGATGCTCATCTGGCCTGACAGTCTGTATTATGTAAAAGCCACTTGAAGCCAGACAGTGCCACCAGCAACAGCAAGCACTGGGGAACTTATACTGTGATTCTCCCAAGGTAGAGGGATGTGTGAATCCCAGCACATCCCAGGTACAAAGGAGGCCAGGTACATCCACCCAAGCAAGTTCCAGCTGCACACGCAACAGCACTGGGGGAAAAAAAATTCTGTACCAGGCAATTCCTCTGGGCAGCAAAGAGGGGTAAGCAAGCATGGAGGAAAAAAAGTCACCCCTTCCTTGTGTTTTCCTTTTGAACCTTGCCTGGAAAGGGGATCCCAGCCCCGGGGTGCCTCTTGGCTGCTTTGGTGTAGAGCACCATAGCCTGCAGCCGTGCAGCCTTTCAGGATGGGAGCTGAGCCCAGCCCTGAGCCAGATCCTGAGTTCCTCGCTCAGCCTGCAGCACCGTGGAGGTGTAGTCATTGACTGCACTGTGAGTTGTTTCTCTGAAGATGGAGCCAGGCAGCATAAAACATCAATAAAGAGCTCAGGATGCATCCCTTTAATGAGCTGAGATTGTAACACGCTGACGGAGCTTGCCAGAAGCTGCCCATTCTGTCAGGAGGAGGAGATCCTGCTGGAGAAGTGTTAAGTGGGTCCTGCTGACTCATTGATGCAGATGGCTCCGTCCCTACGCGAGCCAGGAGGGGGAGAGCATCCAGCGCAGGGGCTGAGCTGCTGCCCCGGCATGACAACACGATGGACGGGGCACATCAAACCGGGTTTCACTCCGTTCTCCGTGTCCCATTGAGTACAGTGAGCACCAGACAGTGGGCAAAGCTGAGGTGCACCCACAGGCTCCCTGTGCTCCCATGGCAGCTCTTCTTTGACAAAACACATTTATCCCTGCAAGATGCCCTCCCCAAACCCACATCAATGTCCCAGCAGAGGAACCAGAGCAAAGGGGTGACTCAAGCAGCAAATGTGGCTCCAAACACGAGGTGGAGACCTCAGCCCTGAGCTCGTGGGGAACCAGAGCAGGGAGATAAAGCTGGATGGGGCACTGGGGGCCTGCCATTAATGTGTTTCATAGAACTACAGGCTGGGTTGGGTTGAAGGGATCTTACAGCTCATCCAGTTCCAACCCCCTGCCACGGGCAGGGACACCTTCCACTAGAGCAAGTTGCTCGAGGCCCCATCCAGCCTGGCCTTGAACAGGCAGACAGCTCTGGTGATGGATCCACCACAGCCATCCAGCTGCCTGGAGTCCTTCCTTCGGGAGGCAGAGGGCACAGAGCTGAAAGTTTCTCGTTCCCATTAGGAGCATGCTGCCTTTGCTGAGCCAAAGCCTGAGGTCTGCCCAGGGTGCCATGGGTAGGGATGTGTATTTCCCCACACAAACCCCACTGCAGCACCCACCATGGAACCAAGTACCAAAGAGTTTGCACCCTCTGGACCCTGAGCATTCCCAGAAAGCCCATGGAGCACCTGTCCCTCTTGCGAGGCCTGACCCTAAGTCCACAGGACACAAGCTTTTCATCCAACCTTTGTAGAGCACCTCCGATCCCCAGCACGATGAGATGGGATGCTCCCACCACTCTCTTCTGTCCCCAAACCCTCAGAACCATCTCTCTCCCTGGCTTCCATAGTCCATGGTCCCTGGGATGCTTCTGCACCACCCCGATCTTCACTGGGAGCAGTCACCAACTGCTGGTCCAGGTCTTCCTTGGGCTTCACAGAGAGGTCCCAGTCTGAGCTCTACCACATGCGTTCTGCTCAGCTCCTCACAGTCCAGCTAGTCCGTGCCCCAGCAACAAATGTACCTGACTCGAGCATCCTCCCTTGCCTTGGGTACCACCTTCCCGCCCCCACCGAGCCCTCTCATGTGCACTGAGCATCACCCATTCCCTGGGGATGGAGGTGGCGGATGGGGAGGGGTCAGCTCCCCCCGTGGGCACTTTGGGTTCCCGTTTCAATGTCACTTTAACTGGAGCGGGCGTGCAGGGATGAAAGGCTCCATATTAAATTGCCAATCTGATCACATGCTGCCGGGATGTGGCCGTAGCTAAGCAGCACCACCCCCACAGCCGCTTTTTTGGCTGGTGACTCCTCTGCTCAGTGTAAGGCAGAGCCACGAAAAATGGGAGAAACCAGGGGGGAGGAAGGGGAAGAAATGAAATAAATAAAGCCTAAGGTGAGTCCTTGTGAATGTCAGGAGCTCCTCGGTGTGACAGTGATCCTCCCCCTCCAAACTCACTCCGGGTGAGAGCCAGAGAGAGGGTTTCATTAGGATCTGGTAGCAGGCTATTTTCAGAGCTGACATCCTACCCACGGCTAAAAATAGCTGGTCCCCTCCACGCAAACCAGGGTTTCTTCTGTTAAACTTTAATAAACCCCAGCAAGGCTCAGACCTTACTTTCGCCCCACACTTTGCTCCCTGACTTCCTCCATCCCTTTCCATCCTCCCTTGATTCCCCACTTCACCATCCCTCATTTCCCAGCCTGCAGGGGCCAGAGCAGATGTCACCAT